TGGTCTGTTGCTGTCTGCGCCTAGTGTGGGTCTCCCGGGTCGGTCCGCATTAGACCTGCGCATCTTGTGCACTGACGCGCTGTCTCACCTGCATCCGAAGTCATCAGGTCGCGCTCGCGCGTGCCCGCCTCACTGCGCGTGTTCGCGCTCGCCCGGGTTCCTTGCTACCCACTACCGCCCACAATGCACGCGACGTCTTTTGCACACATGTCGCATCTGTCCTCATTGCAATGGTCGCGCTGCCTCTTCCTTGCGACCAGTGTCTGCTCGGCGTGCTGCCTGGTCGCTCCCGCTTATCTCTTGTCCGTTCGTCGACGGGTCTCCTGCTAGTCCACTCTGTCTTGCACGTCCTCGCGTTGTCTTGCGCGGTCATCGTGCATTAGCGAGCGGTCTGTGCCAGCAACCCGCGTGTACTCGAGCTTATGTCCCTGTGCCCTCTGCGCAGCCCGTTGTTGATACTAGGGCCTTGGCCCTCCGCGCCACCATTCGACATCCACCATCTGTCGCCATGCGTCGCGACCAATCACCGCCCAGTCGCGACCCGTGCCCAACTGCGATGTACGCCCACCCGTGATGCCCGATCACACGCGAGCAACCCACACAACTAAGAACCCGCACGTAGCCCACGGTGCAGGCGTCCAGCTACGGCGACAGACGATTTGACCTTGACGAGACGATCTGATTTCGACAATTAGTTTAGACGATCTCCATCAGTGGAAATCAGAAACGTCACAGAGTCTGCAATTTTAAGTCGTGAGTGTTCAAAGCATTCTCTAGTCCGCTGTGCTTAGGATTATATTTGTAGATTTTAGATCGGTGATTTGCATAAAATACGACGTTCCTGATATAACCCCAACAAGTGGTATCGGAGCACTTGGTTTAATTCGTATTTTGTGTAAAGTTCAGATCTTTAGGCTTTATGTGTAGATATGCATGAATTAATTGAGTTCAAGGCGCAGCATATAATTGTTGGATTATTATTATTGCATAACTTGGTTGTGCAGGACTAATCGTTAATCCATAATAGTACGTTCCTTTTGAGGTGACAAAACTAACTTTCTTCTAGTCTTCTTCCGCCTACACAAGCTGGTGATAGCCTTGAAGTGTCCATCATGCTGAGGAGCTCCCATCCCACCGTCGAGTCCACGAGTTGATCGATTCTGGGTAGCGGGTAGTGGTCCTTTGGGCAAGCTTTATTCAGGTCCCGAAACCTATGCACATTCTCCACTTACCCAACTCCTTCTTCACCATGACTGCGTTTGATAACCACTCTGGGAATTGGATCGGTTTAACATGTCCCGCCAACAACAACTTGTTCACTTCTTGTTCGATAATGAGGTCCAGCTCGTGACCAAAATGTCGAAGCTTCTGCTTCACCGGTCTTGCTCTCTTATCGATGTTCAGGTGGTGGACTGCTAGGCTCGGGCTGATGCCTGTGAGTTCCTCTAGGGTAAAGGCGAAGACGTCTAAGAAGTCTCTCAGCATCTGCACCATCTTATCTCGTATCTCATGCGAAAGATCTTTCCCAATACTGGTCGTTCTGCCCTCCAAACCTTCTATCAGCTCGATCTCCATCAACTCGTCTTGTGTGGTAATATCCCCCTTCGGTCGCTTTTCGAGTCGATCCTGCGCTTCATCGGTCCCCCTCTTATCAGATCGATCCTCATCCTCGGTTTTCCCTCCATTGGACCGGCCCTCCTTGATAGTGACCTGATAGCACTTTCTCGCAATTTTCTGATTACCGACGACTTCTCCTACTTTATCACCGATCGGAAATTCCATCTTCATGAAATATGTCGAAATAGCGGCCTGGAAAGAGTTTAGGCTCGGTCGTCCCAGTATCACGTTATATGCTGATCCCATCTCAACCACCAAAAAATGAATCATCTTTACTTGTCTCAGGGGTGGTTCTCTTAGCGCCACGGGCAATGTCACTTCTCCTTGAAGTACGACCTCTGTCCCGCTAAATCCATACAAAGTCGTACGTATGGGTTGCAACAACGAACCTAAACTCATCTTGTCTAGGCAATGTGTAAAGATTATGTCTACCGAGCTTCTAGTGTCCACGAAAACCCGTTCCACATCATAGCCTGCTATATCGGTCGTAATCACCAATGTGTAGTTATGTGGCTTGGCAATGTCTCTGAGGTCTGAAGGCCCAAAGTGGATGAGTGGTACCTCCTCTGCAATCTGCACTTCTTCTCCTCGTCTGTCCTCGTCGAGGGATCTCACATGTCGCTTCCTTGCGTGATTTGAATCCCCATCTGTAGGTCCGCTCGATATCATGTGGATCACTCCTTTTTTTTTAGGTATCGGGTTGGTCTCGTTACCGTCGTCGCGTCCACGCTTCTCCGTCTCTTTCTTATCTTTCCCCGGATGTTTGTCCTTTAAGACAGATTCCTTTAAATGACCAGCATGTATCAACTTTTCTATCTCATCTCTCAGATCCTTGCAAGTGTCCTTGCTATGTCCGAGATCTCTATGGTATCGACAATAAGCGTTTGGTCTACCTATCGCCATTCCATTTCTTTTCGGGTGGGGTCGAGGTCGATCTAACCACGACAGATTGCCCTTTCTCTCCAACACCTCAAAGACCTGCTCTCTCGTTGCAGCCAATGGTGTGTACCTATCGAACCTCTGTCATGGCTTCCAACTTCTCTCCTAGACTTGCTTGCCCTCGCGTCCTACTCGACGCTCATCACCTCGCGGAGGTCTTCGCTGCTCTTTTCTTTCTTTCTCCTTCTTAGGATCAAGTTGTATGAAGTCGGCTTGCGATTCTTATACGTTGATGTACTTGATGCATCGCTCTAACAGCTGGATCGGTCGAGCCATCATAAGATATCATAAGCTCACGGAATTCTGGAGGGAGGTCAGCGTCAATTATGGCGTTTGTGAAAGCATGTTCGTGAATACGAGGCCCCGACCTCCTGCCTTTGGCTCTCTCTTGCAATTCACGTAACTGCGCTGCCATCTGCTCTATCATCGGATCTTGCCTAGCTGGGGAGATGGGGTCTTGCCTAGCTTGCGATGCGGATGCAGATGAATGAATGGATCACTCTGCTTCAACTTCTCCTTGCCTCGATGCTTCACGCTGCCCCACAGATCGAACTGGCTTCTCCACAGGTCGAATCGACTGCTCCACAGGTCGAACTTCTGCCCACGCAGGTGGGGGAGTGCGCGCTGTTATCGCCTCCGCTTCATCTTTTCTAGCACTGAACTAGTGACGTGCAACAAGGGTTCGGGGGTGCTAGGTTGATTTTGCAGACGGGGATTCACCGTCGGCCTCCTCTCTCCTATCTCCTCGTAAGGCCTTGTCTCCTCTTGACGTGTTCCCAGCATTGTCCTTGGCGCACCTTTTCGTCCGCCGGGATGCTGGGTGTTCCCATGTCCATTATCGCCCCGCGTTTGACTTCTGGAGCGGGTGTTCTGGGTGACTCTTCGTCGAAAAGCCATCCCCGAGGTGGCTCGGGCTCCCATGGCCGGGTATATGCAGCCACGAACTATCTTCCCTTCCTCTCCGCGAGGTGTGTCTTTGTCTCCTATTTTCACTTACCAAATGAATTTCTTTGTTGTGAGAATACCGCTGAGCTGCCGGTTGAGCTGAGTGCTCCCACAGACGGCGCCAATTTGATAAGGTCTCGCGTAGGTGGCTCCGGTCCAGAACGGTCCTCGGTTCAATGATGCGGCCTTCTTTTCCCGTTTTCGGTCAGAGTTGGAGCTTGTAGGTGCCTGCAAAGGGATGCCGGAGGTTTTCTGGCGTCAAACCCTCCGAAGCTTAAGTCAGTATACGGGGATGAGTGGAGAAGATGAACAGTAGCAGATTATTTGTTGAGGGTTAAATGTATCTTGCCTACCGCAGCTGATGTTTCAGTATATATAGGCGTTTATCTCCTGTACAGATATCTCTAAATATTATAATTTATGGCTACTTGCGAGGTCTAGGACCGAGCCTATGAGCTCGATCATGCAACCGGACTTGATGGCTCGTTCACGGGATCCCATACATGTAGGATCGATCCTAGACCATTTTATCAGCTTCTTGTTTTATCTCGGCCGGTTCAGTCTGTAACGGTCTATGCTTTAACCTTTTTCCTTATAAGTGTTAATGGCAGGACTCATGACATTCATTTAAATTTTAATCTATTGTTTGTCATTCAATGACTGTTTTATTACACGAGTAATATTATATTTTTATTTTATTTGATATTAAAATAAAAATAATATTAGGTAAGTGAGATAATGGGTTTCATGCATTTGCATTTAAATGCATCAACCAATGTGAGTTACTGTTAATGAGCAAAATTTGAGTAGAATGATGATGTAGAGATGAAATGGATGAAAGAAAGAATGATTTTGTGTTTATATGAATGGTACTACTGCGGATGACTTTAGTCAGTTTTTGTATTGTTAGTAAGTTATAAATATATAAGTTGCTTTCTACCTATAGTCAAGTTTGTTATGTTTATGAATAAAAGTGGAGTCAAACCAAAGCTTATTTTTTAGCCATGACCAACTTACGTAGCATATCCAGGATTAAAAACAAAAAATAATTAAAAACTATGTGGTGCGGCAAAATTAAAATTATAAATAAATTTAATAATGCAGTGCATGGAAAAGTTTTTCCTAATATCAAATAAAATAAATTTAATAATGTAGTGCATGGAAAAGTTTTTCATAATCAAATAAAAATATAAATTAACTTTAAAATTCTGCATTATTTTTTTTTAATTAAAGTAAAATACGAAGCTCCTTTATTCATTCGTTATTTGATATATATTCAATTTTTCAATTTTTCTCACATTGTATAATTTATCTGAGAATTCCTCCCGAGTAAACTAGTTTCACGGGTAGTATAATGTTGTTGAAAACTTCGTTTGACCTTGTGTTTTTTGTACAAGACAAACACTGAGAATTAGGAAATATTTATCCCTAAAAAATCAATTGGTTGGTGTTACGAGAGAATCAAATAATTGAATTAGAATGAGGAAAAAATTACACTGACAACAATAAAAATGGAAAAAACANCCCACGTAAATTTACCTTTACAATGCTCAAATTTCCATAATCAGTATCCAAACACTAGAGGCATCAAAATCACATAATAGATAATAATACCATTGGAAAAATATATTCCTGCGTTGTTGGGGATACTTAGTCTATGGGATGCTTGTCCGCTTGACGAGACGTGTAATGCGCAGACAGCAATAGCAGAGAAAGAAAAGCGCTGGCCACAAATATCGCGTCAAACCACCGGTGATAAAAGTCAAATTGAATATCACCACCCAGTACATCGGTAATAATCATCCTATTAAAAGAACAAAGACAAAATTTTAAGACATAATAAAAGCTATAAATAGGTAAGAAAACAAAATATCACAATATAATAAATGGTCGTCAATTCAACGTTTAGCAGAAGATAAATTAAAGGACAAAACCAAAACAAAAAGGATACCAAAAAAAAAATGGCAAAAGCTGCGTTCAAAATTTTCGAATATTCGATTGGATATAAATTGAATAGTAAAAAATCCAATCAAAACTCAAATTTAACTCAATTTTAATTCAATCCCACTATCTTCAATATTACCAATATAATTAAATAATATCAACCAATCATTCTTACACATCAAATCAACTTTAATTCACTATTCATCCACTCACATAATTTTAACTAACCATTACTTTCAATCATTTTTTTTTTACTTTACATCAAATCAACTTTAATTATTTTATTTAAATATTATTTTAATATATCCACTAACAACTAACCATACTTCTTTTTTCCAAAATTAACTATAGTTAAAAACAAACCAAATAAAAACTAGTTGAATCCATAAACAATCACACCCTAAGTAGCTCAATAAAATTAATAATATCCATGCTTAGGAAGGAACATTAAAAAAATTATGCATGCTTAAGTATCATAGCAAGTTAATAAAACTGACGTGGGCAGCACATGAATGATAAACATTACCTGTATTCTGTTGCCAAGCTTTTCCTAATTAGTAATATTGAGGAAACAAAATACATTCCCATAATTTCGGAGAGGAAAAGAACAACATTGCTTGAGGACCCACTACCAACTCTGGAAACAGCAAAAAAGAACTGCAGAAAATGACAGTGATTAAAATTATTTCTCAAGGTGAAATACAAATTGTAGAAAAGAAACNGAAAAAAAAAAAAAAAAAGTATTCAAGACCTTGAAGAGAGATTAAATAGCTTTTAGTGTAGGATAACAATGTAACAGAATTTTGATCAGGAAAAAGGCATAAAGACTTACCTTCATCAAATTCGTTAAGAATCCACGTACAGAAATGACTATCAGCATCCCGATGAACAGAAGGGAAATGTACTGACACAATACAAACCATGTCATTCGAGAAAGTTATAAATAGTAAGGTATTGGATGATATCATTAATTTTCCGTTAAATATGTTATGCATGCAGCACAACCCAATAGAAATGAGTAGTCATTCAGTCTCTATATTAAACACATTGTCAGCTAGTTCTAGTAAAAGTTTGAATATATCTTTTAAATTGTTTAAGGATATTTTATTCGACAAATGATGGGCAACTCATTTTTATGTTGGGAATAGGTTTCTCACCTTCAGAAACCCAAATTTTCACACATACGCACACCAAGCAAAGTAAAAATGGAAGAATAAAACATTATTTACAAACTAAGAGTCCATATTATTTGGCATAATGACATTCAACAACCAACTCAAAAATATAAACCATATCTTTAGCCATTGCAGACTACATGGAGATGAAAACCAGTAAAAAGCAGCAGCACTAACCTGTGATAACAAAGTCACGTTGATGCCTATGTCAAAAAACTGCAGAAATATGCTGACTGTTCTCGTCACAGGATCAACTGAACCAGCCTGACAAGAGAGTTTTCTCCATTAAAATACTGTAAACTTTTCTGTAGTTTGACGATGGACATCATAAGACTAATAGAGTATTAAGGAATTGGATGGAACAGAAAGAGGATTTAACATAATTACCTCCTTGAAAACTACACTTTGCAAAGACTGCAAAACAGAAGAAACAAATATACATAAACAATCGGTACAGCCAGAATACAAATACGACAGAGTATGACCTACTGTAACTATCATTCATGAATTTTAACAGAAACAAAATCTGAACAAAGAGTATATCAATCTTATAAAATGAAACAAAACTCAAAATTACCTTTATCATTTTGTATACACAATAAACTGAACAAGCATAACCCAAAAGATTCTGCAAGTGACCCTTCCAGGTTCTAGAATAAGCAGCGGCTTCCTGCAACGATTGCAATAATATTCAGAAGGATTTTCATAAGTAATTGTATTGCGTTCTAGTGTAATCTTTGATTTGCAACATACAGGAAAAGTTACATGCACTGAGTATACCTTAGCTTGACGAAGCTCATAAACTTCTAAAAATAGTTGCTTCGAGAGCTCTTCTAAAGCATGTACCTCTGCTTCCATGGTTTTGATATCTGAACAATAAAAAAAAAAAAATCCCAACAGTTAAGCAGTAGGATTACCAAAATATACTAAGTACACGTCATAAGATTAATTTAGGACCATTTTGTTTAAAAGATATAACGACCATTCAATATAATTTTTTGTACATGATCTCGTAAATTAAGGGTGAGCAAGATAGACAATAATATGTTCTTCACATATTCGAGTTGAAAGGACTAACTAAATAAAGGAAAATCAGGTATAACAACCCACGACCACCAAGAAAAAAAAGACGCGATTATAAAATTTTGAAATTTCGTCCGCTAAATGATTCTCACATGGAAAAAAATAGAGAACTTGCACGAAGTACAGATTAATAAAAATACGTCTTTCAACTGAAAGCAAATTTAAGAAGACAAAATCACAACTAAGGTACAAAACTTAGGAATTATATATTAATTCTATTTGCCACAACAATCCCAAAATGACACCTAAAAAGACTACGACAATCTTCTTTCATAATTGCAAATTTTGAGTGTTATTTCTACTCTGATGGCTTCAGATGTGCCTTTCTCTATATTCCCTATCGAAGAATTACAAATTAGCTCATGTCTCATTTGATTTCATGGTTCACACTAAATTTTCACAACCAAAAATATCTTCACGGTAGAAATTACTATAATAACATCCAAAATCAATGATGTGTCATAGATCATATATAGATAAATGTATAATTATGACATTGTTTCAAGAAAAAACTTATTAGGAGAAAACAAGATAAAAGGCAAAGAGTTCAGGTTAGATAAAGAACTCAATTTATGTTTTAATTTTCTTAAATTACGTTGGTTCCTTATATAAATTCTTCAAAAATATACAATCAATAACTACTATAACATATGCAACATAGTTTTTATTTTCAGAGTTCATGGTGGGCATGGCCCCATCACACGGGCTAGACATTCGACCCTGGGGAAGAGTGATACACCCTTGAAAGAAAATTCGCATGCATTATCACAAATTCACCACAGGTTAGCAGCAAAAGAATAACTTGAACAGCCAGGCTATTATCATGAATAGCAAAAAAGTTAGCTTGAGTGATATAGAGAAAGACTATAAGAAGACGAATTCAAATATAATACTTGTGCATTTTGTTTAAGATTTAAAAAGATATATTTACAATTACTAACCTTGTTCATTCTGATCATCCTGAACAGATCGAACAACAGTCCCAACTATTCGCTTTAGAAAGGACCTATTGTTTAATTTCTGTCACACACAAACATAGCGCCAATTATATTTCAAGATCATATTAATATCTAAGACAAGTTTATTTCACATCTCCATGATGCAGTGAAAACCATAATTATATTCCCATGATTACATTAGTATGACAATCAAACAATGGATACCATTGATTGGTTTGAGTAAAAATCAAAAGCATCTGACACAAAACTACAAAGAAGTCTTAAGCAGAAGCTGAACATTTAACTACGACGAAACAATTTGTTTCCTTTCACATTTTCTATTTGACCACTTCACCACATCATGTCAGCAACTTCTAGATTACAAAGTAATCACAGAACAGTGAGAAGATAAATTTAAATAATATTCAGACTCACACCAATTAAAAGTACAAAAAACAAAGAATCCTTTCGAAGTGGCCCAAATGATTGGACAATGCATTGTGTTCAGTAAACTGAATTACTTTAGTTTTATAATTCATTTCTTCCTAGGTGACTTTTCCACAGACAGCGACATTGGAATATAGTACTCATCCTTATTTAGTTCAGAGACCAAACAGATGGAGAAAACCACCTCTAGGCTCTATCCATGTTTCTCATCCTCTTTTCTGAAAATCTTTGGTCAGGATTCGCTAGAAACATTATTTCCCATTTGAGACTTATTAGAGATTGGAGATTAATGGTTAGCTATTCTTTTTCTTTTCAGCAACACTTCCATTGTAAGTCAATTAAGAAGCATCTAGCTCGCAGTTGTCACTGTAAGAGTGATCCATAAAGGATCCATTCAAGTGTGTTAGTTCAGTGATTTGATGAAGACAGTAACAGATTACATACAAGGAGATAAAGCAGTATGTTCGGAAGTCCACATAGTTCATAGAAGACGAATCCTTCGACTACTTGTAAGTTCAATATGTAGCATTATCTTAACTGTTTGTTCATGACCAAATTTCTTCACATGTATCTCTAGATAAAAGGATACATACCTATCCAATACTATTTTCTTTAAAAAGAAGCCCCAGGTATTAAGTCAAAGAATCTCGCATATACATTCAAACATAGTACATAAGTAGAAAAATTGGTGAACCTCTTCCGAGCCTTGTTTTCGCTCCATCTCCATTTGACAGAGAATAATCCTCTTTTTCTTGGAAATGCAAGTCTCGATTGACTGCATTAACTGCCTTTCCAGTGCCTTAATTTCTGTTTCCTCAATTTCTCTTCAATTAGGGAAATAGAGTACATTAAACAAATTTGATAAATAGAGACACAACAGGTAAATGCAGAATGGTTTTAACTTCTAAAGAAGGATTTAATATAGAAAGCTCCACGCAATAACATACTAAATAAATTCAGCAACAATATCAATAAATTTCAATCTTAGCAATCAAGTCAAAAGTCAAGAACTGGCCCCGGAAAACATTTCCATCTCGGTCTGTTGGGGGCAATTATTACAATACAGGGTTCAAGGTTGTTCACAGAAATTCAGATAAGAAACCCATATTTGGAAAAGAGCATGCCTGAAGCTCCAAATAGCAAGAACGAATCGTGACTGTAGCACGTGGAATCTTTAAGATTATATGGTATTGCAAATGGCATGTTAAACCTTTTAGCAACTGACATCACAGAAGTGATAAAAGTTCAAGCATTTCTGGGGTAAGCCCTTAACATTTTTGCTTCTGAGTAATGGTCCAAAGGCAAAAGATAAAGGAAATTCAGCTTTTCCACTTAGATAAATCTAATCCAACAGCTGTTGTTGCTCTTACCGTATAAAGAGGGACAGATAGCTGTACGGCAAATTTACTGCTCCAAAACCAGACAGTACAGCCATAACTGTGACACCAATGACCCCAATTCTGCTCACAAGCTGAGGGATGGTGAAGAATCCTGAAAAATGACATCTCGATGATAAAAATCTACGCAACTGACATAATCTATTAAACTTATCAACAAAAGACAAAATAAGAAGATGAACTGATTTGAACAAAACAAACGAATGTTTCTAGCGAACATGCTATGCAGTAAAGATGCAAATTGTTAGAATATTAGAGCAGTAACATCTGGAGCCAAAACTGCATTTGAACGGACAAACCAAAATCAAAGGTAACTGAACAACAAATTGGAAAAGGATCTTATGCGCAGAATTTAAGCCCCTTGCCAGACAATTTAAAACTAACCTTTATCTGGAGATGGCATAGGAAAGTGAATACCCATTCGCCAGAAACCATAGAGAAAGGCCAACAAGAATAAAATAGCACCAAGTGAAGCACGTTCTTTTCTAATACCTGGAACCAAAAGTTGACAACATAAATGAGTAACTGCCGAAAATTACAGGCACACAAGAAAATATGGGAGGAAAATAAACCACATTTACCCTTGGTAAGTTTTTCCCTTGAACTATGCGGCAAACATGAAAGGTGAAGATTAAACTTTAGTGCTAAGGTAATTACAGAACCGGCTCAAATCTCCATCATATTCAAATGTGAAAGCAGTGGAATTACATAATCCCATAAAAGAAAGTTGAAGAAAAGAATTCCAAAATCAGCCCAGCATCTCATGCACGCAGAACTTTATATCCGCTCCCCTCATTTTTCATGAACTCACAATATAGAAAAGGCAGTACAATATAGAGATAAGAAGAGAAAGAAAATCTTAAATACAAGACAGAGCTGACAAACTTACCACTGTTACAAAGCATCAGATAGCAATGATAATATGGCAGCATGAAAACGAGTAACATTATTAGACAAAACAAATCCACCTTCCAATTCATCCATCTTGCCCTACAATCAGCAGAACGTATGGCAAAGGCCACATCAGATCAAAAGCTTACACAAAAATGTGAACCAAGACCATTAGTGCTTAACAGTGTGATCCAAGTAAAAACCACCAACTAACTCAGAGTTCAGATGCACAAATGTAATAATGAAGAGCAATGCTTAATCCCGACCAAAGAGAAAAACTAAACAAAATACTACAATACTGAAATTGCTTACTCTTTTGACAGAATAGGAATAATCTCGAAGAGGACAAGCTGAAAGAGGTTGCAGGAGAAGGCAAAGACAACGCTGAATATTATCTGAACCAAGACCCGCTTCTCTTCATACTCCTTATAAAGCCGCCGGTTCAAAAACCAAAGGCCGCCCCAACCCAGCAACAGCAACGACCCCACCGCCACCACTCCTTCGTACGCCGCCCTTCCCCACCCCATCTATATATATACTGTCTCAACCACTCTACAGTATGCACCCTGCTCTCGCTTTTTGTAATTTAGTTTGCACTGCAATTCACCTCAGATTAATAATTCCCTCGACTCCATTCTTCGAAACCACCGCACTAATTTCAGAGTTGTCGCGAATTGGAAAGCTCTGGCAAAGTAAAATAGCTGAATGTTTCAGAGGAACCCCAAATTAAGATGGAGAAACGTACAATTCCGGTGGATCGATCGAAAGATGATTCAGATGCAAGAATGCTGATTGTTTCTTTTTTCGCGTAGTATAATAATGGAGTACATACAAGTCGCAAACAATTCACAAACCTCGCAACCGTTTCCATTTGACTTGCGTAAAAAGTTGTAAAAACCGACCGGATTGGCAGATGAACCGTCTGGTCCTCTTAAAAGGACCGGCTATCAAAGAACCAAAGAAAATCTTGTTTAATCGTGAACCAAAGTCGGATCAATATAATTTCTTAAGCGTTGTTACTGCCTATTAGTACGTACCGCCCCACTGGATTATTTTGCCCCTAAAATTTTTTCAAAAAACTCAAAAAATCATAAATTCTTTTAAAGCAGACGATTTTCGGCGAAAAAATGTCCGACGGCGAGGTACGATTTTTTACCGGCCCGAATTGCGGCAACACGGACAAGCCAGACCGGCCATGGCCATGGCCATTGGCGACCGCAATATGCAGTCGGCCATGACTATGCACAGTCGGTCTCGTCGACCGACCGGAATCGCGCGCGGCCGCAGTCGCCGGTCGGTCGACCGTTTTTTTTTTTAATTAATTTATTTTTATTTTTTAAATAAATTATGTTAGTAGAAATTATTATGTCATAAATTAGAATTGATTATATTAGAAATTAAAATTTATTATTAGGTTAGAACTTAGAAACTTTTTATGTCATAAATTAGAATTTATCACTATTATATTAGAACTTACAAATTATTAAGTTATAAATTAGAATTTATTATTGTTAGAACTTAAAAAATTTTATGTTATAAATTAGAATTGATTATCATGTAAAATTATTAACATGGTAATATATTGCAGGTGCCATTCGAATATTTTGGAGGAGAAGGTATTGATTACAGTTCTAGTTTCATTACGGAGGAAGTACTCGGTAGTGATGAATAAGCTATTACATGTTTGAATTGTCATTGCTTCACACAAAAAAAAGAAGGAAGAATGAAGTTGTTGAGGTGTTCGCGAGTTAACGTTATAGAGGCAGTTTAGGATATTTGGATCGAGCTGTTGTCAGACGTTCAAAGACTAAAGCGTGCAATTGCCCTTTTCGAATAGCAGTCCAATAGGCAGCACGATCTACTTCTTGGAGGATCCGTGTAAGTAATCTTGCGGATAGGGGAATGCATAATCATGCACTGGCTGCATATCCTGACGGTTATTGACAAATGAACGGACTTAGCGCTTCATCTAAAGATATTGTCTGTGATATGACTACTGCATAGGCAAAACCGACAGTAATTTTGGCTGCGATCTAGGAGAAAAGCCCTGAACACAAAGCTACTCGACGACATGTGTATAACTATAGAGATCAATTGCGGAGAGATAGTTTCGAGGGTAGAGATGTGACTACCCAGATTCTACGTTTGGCTTCAGAGAGCAATTATATAGTTTATACATATGTTGATGAGGAGACACAGGTGTTGACACATCTGTTCATGTCGCATCCTCAAGCAGTCAGTCTATTCCGGACATATTACTGGTACATCGGTATAGATTCGATATACAAAACCAACAGGTATGTGATAAGTCGTATTCTTGGCATGTTAATTGCCATGTTTTTCATACTTTTTCGGTGTTTGTTTAAGCTTGATTATTGATTTTAATTTATTTTTATGATTTTTGTAGGATATCTTGAAATTTGGAATTTTATGATGATTGGAGAGCAAAAGAGACGAATTTAAGGTAAGGCGTGAGTATGCTACTTTCCTACAAGAGTTGGAAGAAGGAAGGAATCTTGAGTTGGAAAGAGAAAATAATAAAACTTTATGGAGTATTTATTTATTTATGGACTATTCTATTTTATTAGGATATTTTGGAGAGAGAATATCAATTTTCTACGTACTTTCTGCTAGGATTAAAATTAGACTGGTTTGATTAAAAATCAGACTACAGATTTTATTTCTATCTTTTATCTCTTCTTTTCTTTTGTTCTCTCCTTTTACGCACGCTTCTCCTTTTCTTTTCTCTTTCCTTTTCTTTTGTTTTTCTCTTTTATTTTTCATGAATAATTGGGAGGCTTCTCCCATGTTTATGGATAATTAATTTATTTTTCCAGCCAAAGGATTAATCTAGATTTGGTTCTTCATGATTTGTGAGATTTAATTGAATTTATATTCCCTACTTCTCTTTTATTTATATATCTCTTGTGATTATTATCAATTGTGTTTTGATTGTTGATGCAAATTGGCCATTTGTTCGATTGTTGAAACGCATTTCGTTATTTGGGATGGTTAAATCTGTAATTGTTTGACTGTTCTAATATTTGTGGCAAATAGTATAGTTGACTACTAAGGGTTTTCAATTGTATGCTTAGGGAGATATATGATCTAGTTTAAATGATCCTACATGTGCGTTTGTTGGCTAGAATTGGTGATCCTTCTAGATTTTATTGCTGTTGATAGATTAAATTCTATGATCGTATCTGGGGTTGTCTGTTGATTAGAGAAATAATTAGAGATCGTATCCTGATTATCGAACAAGTAAAGAAGGGTAGGTTGTTAGGTCGTACCAATAACCATAATCAGTTTAATCGAGAGTAGAAGAATTATCTTTGTATCCGTGATCGAATCATTGAACCATTTCTATAATCTTTTCCTTTGGTTGAATATTTTCTCTATTTTTAATCACTCATTTTGTTTTCGTATCTAATTAGATTTTATTTTATTTTATTTTTCTTAGTTAGATAAAATCATCAAAACCCTCCATCATTTTTATTTTTATTTCTTTCAAGAATAGTTGTATCGATACTTTGTCTAGCCAATCCCTGTGGATACGACCCTGCTTACCACTACTACAGTTATTTAAAAGCAGGAATTTATTATTGTTGGATTCGATACCCATCAATTTTTGGCGCCGTTGTCGGGGATTGGTTTCTAATTAGACTTGTTTTGGTGCGCTATTCTTTTGTGCAAGAGGCTTACATTTTATGGAGTTTTATTCTCAGCAGTTCGAGCACAATGGTTATCACAGGGAAAGCATGTGCCAATCTGAGTTTTGTGGAATTTGTGGCGACTCCCAACACCCAACTTATTCTTGCCCAACATTTCTATATAATCCTCAAGGGCATTCTCATGTTGGAAATATTCAAAAGCCGCAACGAGGTAGCTTTGATGGATTTTATGATAGTTGCAACTCTGAGTGATGGGGTAATTACTCGCCTTCTGCACCATTTGCTACCCAACAACAATATCCATCGAGTTCGATCACATCTCTTGAAGAAATTGTTAAGTCGCTTACGCTTAGTACTTTACAGTTTCAACAAGAGACTAGGAGCAGCCTTACGAATCTAGCAGATCGACTCGATCAACTTGTGTCCTCAGTGAGCGAAAGTGTATCTCGAGTTGAGTTGTCATCAGAAATGGTGGTAGATACCTCGAGTGGTGCTACATAGTTGACAGAATCTTCTAAGATGGAACGAGAATTCATCGAGAAATCTGAACAAGTTGTTGTTTTTCAGTCTCAAAGTGATTTGCTTCCTAGTAATTTTATGGGTGTTGATGAATCTAATGTGCCGAAAAATCTTGACCTGAGTGATCTGGATAAGTTGAAAGTTGTACTTTTCAATGATTCAACATTTGATAGTTCACTAGAGTTTCAAGATAGCTTATATGAACCGTACTGCTTTTCTCTAATTGATACCATATCACCCGTTACTCGTACTGACGATTCATATTTTATTTTGCAGGTGCTGGAATTGCCACTATTGATTGTTGAGAATTTGATTGAGGATCAAGAACAAAGTCTTTTGCATGAGTTGAAAAAAATTGAAAAGGGAATTGGCTGAGTCCCGAAAATGATGTCTAGCCGAAGAAGTTAAAGAAAGACGCTTTTTGGGAGGCAACCCAAACTTTTATTTATTTATTTATTTTTATTTTGGTACTTGATTTTTTTTAAGGTTCGTATTTGATAGTTTTGATTAGGGATGAAAACGGAAACGGTAATTTTCGATTACCGAGTATCGTTTTCGAAATTTTTTCGGATTTGGAGGCTAAACGGAAACGGTAACCGGAAAAACGGAAATGAAAACGGTAAAAAAATTCAAAAATGAAAACGAAAACGGTTTAGCCCTTTTCCGATCGTTTTCGAAAATTACCGTACTTAAACGGTATTTTACCGTCGGTAATACCGGCCCAACTCATACTAGACTCACTTTTAATTATAAAGCCCAATCCAAATCCCAAATGGGCCAAATGCCCAAATCCCCTTCAGCCCAACCCTGTGCCCAAATCCTGAAATCCCCTTCACCCCTTTCGGTCTTCACTCTCGAAATCCTCGAAATCCTGAAATCCCCTTCAGTCCAACCCTATCATCTCTTCCATCGGCCGACGGCCATCGCAATTCGCCGCGCCTGCTCGTCGTCACTCCCGTCACCTGCTCGTCGCCGCCGCGCCCCACTCCCATCAACGTCGCAACCGCACCACCCGCTACAGGCTCCAGCTGCCGCCGCCTACCCCACTTTGAATTCACGCCAATAGTGATTTGTGTTTTGAATTCTGGATTTCGTTTGTTGTGGTTTTTTTGTGGATTTAGTGGTTCCATGGTTGATTTCTCACCTAATTGCTCCCATTTCATGTTTCAAATTTCAATTGCTACTATTATTCCATGAGAACTTGATGGACAAGTCACAATTCAATTGCTAGTTATTGGAATTTGTATGGATTTTGTTATAGCAAATGGTGTGGATTTTAATTTGGATTTTGCCACTATTATGCCGTGAGAATATTTCAATTTATGTTTTAATGCTATATTTTATAATGTGGTGTGTTTATCGTTTTTTAAATACCGTTTTAATATATTTCGATCGTTATCGATGTATTTTCAATCGGATAGTTTCGTTTTCGATATTACCGGAATACCGATGTCGTTTTCGTTTCCGACATTATCGTATCATTTTTGTTTTCGAGAAAAAAATATGAAAGTGGAAATAGTTGAGCCCTATGCCGATCGTTCCCGATCGTTTTCATCCCTAGTTTTGATAGGATTTATGAAAGTGTTTTAAGGTAGGAATGATTTTTTCTAAGATGTGGAAACACGTGAAATATATTGTTTCTCTTCAGTTAAGTCGTGGC